GGATTCTTATTGCTGCCGTACTACACGTCTATACCCCAGGCGCGGTTTAAGGTCCGACCGACATAGATGAGGCGATACACTGCCTACAACATATAGAGATTGCAGCTTAGATTGTCTACCCCCCAGGCGGCTCACTAGGAGCGTCCCTCCCCTACCTCGTCCACCCATGAGTGACGCTCGTCCTGCCCCCCACCCCCCACCCCCGACACGCCAGCAAGACGACATTACATAGGGGCCATCCATTCGCCGTTACGGAACTGTCAAGTTCAGCCTGTTTAAGCTCTCATATAGCGCCTGATGGGTAGGCAATATATCGTTTGCAGTGCATGCGTGTGCCGCGGGATGGCCTACCCGTAGTCTCGCAGGCGCTGAGCTCCCGTACAATTTGCCGGATGACTCTGAAGAAACGGGCGCACTTTTTGGACGACCCCATAGCAGGTGGTTTGTGCGGCTTTTTCACCCCATCCCGCATCAGTGGACTGTGAGACTGTGGGGTTAGAGTTTGCAATCGGTCGGACACTACCCCGGCGAGCTTACCCGACAGTCTTCTGTCTCTCTCACTCCCATCTCACGTCAGATATGAGTACGAGAGACAGAAGACTGTCGGGTAAGCTCGCCGGGGTAGTGTCCGACCGATTGCTAACTCTATGTGGGGTTGCATATCGCCTCTCACCACGACGAGTAGGGCAGTCCAGTCCCCGGGGGGATAGTCAATCATGAAAGTATTGGGCGCGTCGGGGCGCGTAAACCACCTGCCGACCGCATCCTGGCATTGCGAACACCATACCGACGAGAGGGCTTTCACGGGTGTATGGGATGGGGGCGGCCTCCTGCCCACAACGTTTGCGTTGGTTCACCCGAGCTTCAGCTGCAGCGCGGGGCGGGGCATTGTATGCGCGGTGGACGGGACGGGATGGGCGCAAGGAGGCCAAGGGTGCAGTGAGCTGCCCGCCGCCCCCGCCGCGCCGCGCCGGGCTTGGCAGGGCTGGTCGGCGATGATGACCCATCAGTAATGGCTGTTGATGGCCATCGTGTTGTCCGCCATTAGGATTAGTGGGCGAGCAGGAAGGGGGTGATGTGGGTGGGGTGGGGGTGTTATACAATACGAGCGGGAAGCTGTGTGAGCTTAGTGTATGGTGCGATGTGAACATCGGCAGGGTGTCGTCGTTGCAAGCTTTATTGTTCTGAACTTTGAGATCAAAAAATAATAATAAGAAGCTCATTTGTTTTGATAACATTTCCACATTATTTCAACCTTTTTAACGCCGTATCACAACAGCACGTGGCGTCTGGAAAATTAGTATTAAAATGTCGGGCATTTAGCCGAAATTTTTAGTCACATATCAGTAGCCATTTCCTGCTTCTTAGGGGTTTGCGACATTAGGACAACGCTATGTCCTGCTACGCTTGCAACTGTGGGTCAGTATTGGTCCCAAAGTATGGATTTTCAAAGTCGTCTCAGGAAATATCACTATGGTAAAAGGTGGAAACGGCGTTTGTCCAATGGGAAGTTCGAGGACTTACACCCTTTTCACTTTGTCCTCAACCTGTTGTTCTGCCTGGCGCCGCCGGCCGGTTCACCGACTATACCCTGCCGAGCCGAGTGTTGCTTGCTGTGCGTGGCGTGCATTGACCGTTTTGCCCGGGGATACTTGTTGCAGGCCCAGCCCGGTCCGCGGGGCCCTCTAGGCGGCCGCCACCATGCATCACCTGTACCCGACCACCAAGGGCGACCCGCTGTGCCCGCTGGGCTTCCACCCGCAGGTTCGCTGGCCCACCCGCTGCAAGCGCTGCTTCAGGTCGGTACCGCCGTGCACAAGTGCCCTGCCCCCGGGCCCATTTGGCGGCGCCTCACCTACCAGGCTGTGTACTACTCGATGACGCCAGTGCTAATGTCTCCTCGGCCCGCAGGGACTACAAGGAGCACGGCAACCGCAACAAGGAGCAGGATGTCACCGCGTCCTCGCCCAGCCTGTCCTCCTGGAGCTCGACCTCCTCGCGGTGAGCAGACCGCTTGTTCATCATCAACCGTCACCGTCACCGGGACCGGGACCTGCCCGTCGAGCGAGTGGCCGTGTCGGAATGCGCGTGCCCGGCGGGCTGCCGTCGCCGTCCTGGGGCCGTGCGCGGGAATGCGCAGCACGTGCGCCGCCCTGGCGCTGCTCGACGCCACTTGCACTACATTACACGCGCGCCGCGGCGGCCCTGCAGAGGGGGGGTTTGTTTCACCAGCGAGCAAGTTGTTGTTGTTGTTGTTTGGTCAACTTGATTGATTTATGGCCCGGCTGCGGGTACGCCGGGTGCGCTGCCGGCAGTCGGACTGTACCCGCGGCGCTCCCGGGGGCCAACCGCGGTGGGTGCGGTGCCGCCCAGCAGCCGCCCAGCAGCGGAGCGCAGGGCACCCCCTGCTCGCTCTCGCTCGAGCGGGTCTCGCGGTCTGTTGACGTTGGCCACCCTGTGTCCGCCGCGCCCGCGCCACGAGCACGTACCTCTCGGCCGGAAAGTTGGCAACGCCGCGGCCGCTGCACCCCCTGCGCAGCGTTCTAGCCCATTGCCGTCCCTGCTCCCCGTTTGTTCACACTTTCCCTACTACCTCCTTTCGCTTTATCCTCTCTCTCTCTCTCTTTTCCCTCGACCACCTCGTTTCCCCAATTTTTCTCCCGTCGGTCAACGAAAGGCGCTAACAACCCCCGACCCCCACATCCCCGCCCGTGAAGGAGGTGTGTGAGGGGATCCAGAGGCCGCCCGCCCTCCGTCCGCACCTGCTCCCCCGGCCGCGCCCGCTCCCCGCCTCCCCCGCGCCCCTTCGCGGCCGCCGCCGTGGCCGCGCTCCAAGTCCACGACGACGACGCGCGACGCGCATCCCACCCTACGCTGCGCCGCGGTGTCCCTGCGCGTCGAAAAAAACAGCCGCGGGCGGCGGCGGTGGCGGTGGCGTGGCGGAAGTGTGACGGCGCACGACGACGCGCGGGCCCCGTCACACTCTACGTCACACCTGTCACGCTCGTGGCCGTGGTGATCTATGGTCCCGGTCCAACTCGTTTTTGCAATCGACGCTCTCTCACTCTCTCTCTCTCTCTCTCTCCTCGCCGCCCTCTTCCTGGTAGTTTATTATTCCTCTCTGGCGTTTCGGCCGGCGACGCGACGCACCCCCGTGCCTAATCGCGTGGATCGCCCTGGACGCCCCGCCCCGCCCCGCCCCGCCCGGCCCCGCCCCGCCCCCCGCCCGGGACGAGCGCTGTCTCATTACCACCATGTCCGCTGTCCGCTTCGCCTCTCCGCCCAAGGCCCGGGCCCACGCAGCGGAGCCAAGCTCCCCGGCAGGAAGAGGCGCTGAAAGGAGAGGGCGGACCGTGGGACGGGCCGGGTAGGCTGCGGTCCAAATTAACAAAGCGGTGGGGTGTCCGCCCCTCCCTCTTCGCCCGCCCCGGGTCAATGCGGAATTTATTCTGTGTTGCCGGCTGCCACCGAGGCCGCTACTGTACTACAACATTGTCAGCCGCCCTTGCCCTCCAGGAGAGAGGCCCCGCACACCACCCCTTCGCTCTCCCACCTACCTCCACCACCACCACCACCACCACCACCACTCTACCACCTGCGCACGATGGCCGTTTGGTATTTCCCCGCATCTCGGCTCTGTTCCCCCCCCCCACCACATTTCCCCACTCTCCCCTTGCCCTTCGTGCACACGGCCGTACGAAAACAGCGACAGTGTCGCTCCCGTCCCGCGCCCCGCATCCCTCTCCTCCCCCTCCCCCCTTTCCTGCTCACTTTGTTTCGCCCGGGCGAGGCCAGGAGACGAGGAGAGGGGCAGGGAATCATCGGGTGCCTCTGTAAAGGGCAACCTGCTTGATTCATTTGCTGCTCTTTCGGTGAGGCGAGGCGGACCCCTAGCCCCCAGCCTCGGCCGCCAGAGATGGGGGCGAGGTCGGTGCCTGGTGCCTGGTTGAGGCGGAGCGCCTGGGAGGTAGGCCGGCCCGTTGGACTCGCCAGTCTCGCGGGACGGCCTACCCACGCAGGCGCTCCCTTGACGAGCGACCCAAATGGACCGCGACGGCCAGAGGGAAGTGCTCATCATCCATCCACTTCTTCTCTTTTTATCGGGCGATACAATTTGGAATCCTACTCACTAAGAACTAACAAGAAATTACATGACACTCAAATAATGTGTCACTCGCTTTCATGCAGCGTTGCAGAGGAGGCACAAGGCGTGAGTCACCAGTAGTGTAGTGTATGTACGGGCGGGATGAAGCACGGTCCAACAACAAATACCATTGTGGTAAAAAAAAACAAATATTATTTGTTCTCGTGTACGATGGCTGCAAAATCAGACATCATTAAATGTATCACCTGCCTTCAAGATCAGTATTTAATTTGTTTTTATTGTTTGATAATCTTTTACTTTTTTTTAAAGAGTTGTTTCTGTCCTAAAATTTTAGGGGAGAACCACTGGAAAATTTCCAATTAAAATCTTGTAAGAACCATCTTTTCTAACTTTTTCACAGACTTCGCGATGACGGTCGAGGCGACAGTGGCATCAGCAGTAGTAGCAGTGGCCTGCGGTCAGGCAGCAGTAGTAGCAGCAGCAGCAATGCTGTACAGGACAGTAGAACCAGCTCCAGTAGTGCAACGTCTTCAAATGACTCTAGGTATTTTCATTTTTTATTGTTACTATTCACGCATAAATCTGCTCTATTGATATCACAGAGATGCCAGTTACCTTTTTCCCCTGCATACTTGACTTGACTGACATTCCCTATCTTATTTTATTCAGGTTTGGGAACACTAGTCTGTCTCGGCCAGCGTCGTCTTGGACTTCAACCCCAGATTTGGGAAATCTTAATGACGATAACCTTACAACCACCGTGAGCATAACATTGCCCAGGCGCCGACCTGCACCTCCCGATACTGGACAGACAAAGGAGAAGGAAGAAGGTATGTGTTGATGGAGAAAATATTTTCATCTCAAAATACCTTCTTGCTAAACAGAAGTTTTCAATAAGAGTCCTCCAAACAGACACTTTCACTTTCTGGCTGTGTTAATTTTATGCTGCTGGTTATTATGGACAGGAGAATTTTTTTATTTTTTTTGTGGCATGTATAATTGTTCATATCATCACTCACGAATTCCAGTTCATCAACTTGCCAATCAGTCCTTCGGAAGTTTTGTTTGTTATTGTGTCTTCCACTGCAAAGCATTACCTTTGAAATGGAAATCACAAAGCAAATGATCCTAAAGAGAGATTGTACCATCACACATTCATTTTTTATTTTCCAAAATTCTTAATTTGTGACTGATAGACTAAAACTGTGTTGCTTCTTATAAGCTAATTTGATATCCATTTTCTTTTCAGTGTAGCATTTATTGTGCCTTCTGTGCCAATTGCTTTATGTATTGCAATATTTGACATCTGGTGAATTTATAAACATAGTCATTATTAAAAAGGCTATTGTACCAGGTGTTTCAAATTTTGGTTAACAAACACATGCTGCTTGTGTCTCAGTTTTATTTGTTAAGATCATCTATTTTGTTTCACCATAGCCATATATAAAATCCCTTTATGTCATAAATATTACATCTTCAATGGTAGTGACCATTTTGAATCAGACATTTCAGACATTGAACATTTTCCAGGAAAATTTATACATACAGATTTATCAACAAGACTTCAAAGAAAGGTACTTTTCAAAATGTTGTCATAATGGGGGCCTGCTTTGATGTCAACTGGACATCATTTCAATTACAGGCGACTAAGATGACAATTTTTGTCAAATATGTACCTCACTTAAAAGCATTTATGACAGTTATGTGTTCCTTAAGATATCATTTTCAACTCATTTTTGGTTTTTACTTAGTTATGATTCAAAAGTTTTTAAGTATTTTTTATTTTTTTTTAAAGTTTGGAGTTTTTATTACATGATTCTGATTTCAAGTTTGTGGGTGGCCGTATTCTGGTTTGCAGCTTTGAGTGTTTGTCATATCATCCACAGTTCATTTGTAGCAGTGACTCTCTGTTGTGGTGCTTCCAAAAATATGTGAGCTTGCTTTTCAAACCTGTTCTTCTTCACAGAAGTAAGTCGTATTTTTCCTGTAAACAGATAACTTTCGAAGCACAAGTTTCACCGTTCGGAGACGAACAGCTTCTCCCTCTCTACCTGGCCCGACCCGCAAAAGCTCATGGGCCTCTTCTTCCTATAACTCAACTAATGATACTAACAACAACAATCAACATAGAAATTCCAAAGAAGATTCATTATCATCTAGCAGTATCAGTAACCAAACCTTATCAGGCAGTGGTGGTCTGCGAAGTAGACCTCCCCTTGCCCCATCTTCAGCTTCTTCTGCATCAAAATCAACAAAAGATCTTTCTGCAAAGACATCTACAAGAACCAAGACAGCTGGAATCAAAGCAGACCAAAAGGATGCTGTTACAAGTCCAGACGTTCAGTTCATACTTCAGGTAAATTTCCCTCCATCTATTTTTCTTACACTCAACCTATTTTATACCTATTTTATACAGACTTGCAACTTCTGATTTTATTAAAATACACAGGTTAAGGGATCAAAAGCCACAAAAACCAAAAGTAAAGCTAAGACAGCTCAAAGTTCTACTCCAACTGTCAACAACTCTCACAGTTCGAGCTCTGGAGAAGATAGTCTGAATGAAGACGATGATGATATTAGCATTGCAGGGACAGAAACGACAGAAACTACGGAAACAACATTAGTAGATCGAAATGACAGTGATTTGCAGGTAATATTTGTTTCCCTATTAATTCATGATTTATAACTTTTTCATTTTGTCTGTTTAGACATGACTAATTTTGTGAAATTGTTAGGATCAAATTGAGAGTCTCAAGGCAGAGCTAGATGCTGTTAAGACACGATGTGAAAGAGTTGAAAGAGAGAAGAGTGATATACTACTTAGAAGACTTGCTGCTATGGATACTGGACCGAGTAAGACAGCAGCTTCTGAGGTAGGAATTTTTTTGTGCTACAGTATGTTAAATATATTACCGTAGAACTATCTAATTGGATTAATTTGACTGCTGATTACCCTCTATCTCAGGTTCTGAAGCTTCAACAGAAAGTAAATGAGTACCAAACAAGATCAGAGGATTTATTAGATGAGAAAAAAACCTTGAGTTTACGAGTTAAAGAATTGGAAGAAGAACTTAGTAACAGGCCACTACCAGGTGCAAACCAACGGGCTACAGATGAATTACGTTCCAAACTTCTAGCTGCAGAAACTCTTTGCGAGGAGTTAATGGATGAAAATGAAGATATGAAAAGAGAATTAAGAGACTTAGAGGAAGAAATGGAGGAACTGCAAGATAATTTTAGGTACAAGATGGTTTTATTTTTATTGTAATTTTGCTGTGGTACATCATCACAATTATTTTTAAGTTGATTCTTTTCTTATTGTGTCCTAACTTTTGAACACTTTTATAGAGAGGATCAAGCAGATGAATACACATCTTTGAAAAAAGAATTGGAACAAACAGCTAAAAATTGTAGAATTTTATCTTTCAAACTACGAAAGTCTGAACGAAAACTAGAGTCTCTTGAAAATGAAAAAGCAGAGTTTGAAAAGAAACTTCAGGATGTGAGTTTTTGTTTACTAATTTTTTTATGTCTTTCTATGTTGTACTGATCATTCTCTGGATAGCTTGTTTGACATTTGGACCTTTATTTCCCTTGCCCTATTTTCACCAAAGCAATGAAGTAACCAGTTTTTGTTTTAATATGGTATGAATGCTTCATTAAAAAGAATTGTGGGTATTTTCTTGGGTTTTAATTTGCTTTGGTGAAAATGCATGATGCACGAGGTTCTTTGTTTTGTAGACATCTCTCTTTCATTTTCCCCCCCTACAGTACCATTAGTTCAATGCACTTCCTATAGGTCTCAGCCTTCAGTTTATCCAGCATGTTTTTATACTCACCTCTTTCAACAGTTTTATCTATCAGTGCTTTATTTTTTTATTTTATATGTTTTTCAACTCTTACAGTATATTTTGCAACATTTATGTACTGGTAGGAACCCCGAACTAATAAGATATAACATTCAAATCCTTCAAATACAGTATTTATTGGTGGTTTCATTCTAGTCACACAGTTCACTGAAAATTGACACACAACTTTGTACTGCACAATTCATTTTCCATTTTACTGCAGCTCACCATGACTCAGGCAGAATTAATTCTACGTGTACCTGTTATTGCAAAAACTATCGGTCTCAATGCAAGTGGGTCAAACCCAGGTCAGCTTCATGGAGATGAACTCACAGCAAAGCACTCATTTCTGCATAGTGTGGTGAGTTCGGGCACTATGCAAACATAAACATATCACAAAGCATATAATACTCTCCATTCAGTGCATTGCTGTTACAATTAAATGGTCACCTTATGCAACATAAAGCTACAAAATACATTTTCTTTGAAGTATATATCTATCTCTTTAGTTTTTATTTTGTCTGCTTGTAGAACATTGTTTGATAGCTCATAACTAGTATTGCACCAGGAGGTAGTGGTTCTACTTTGCTGCTTTGTTACCGTGTGGCATTACTACCTCCAAGTGTATACTGCTCGAAATAGTTATATGTGTATTACTGTGTAGCATTTCTGGTTTGAAAATCTTTCAAATTTCTTTGACTAAACAACAGATGTCTTTTTTCTCTCTCTCTCAGTTGGGTGTTGGTGAAGACATGACTGAGAAAGCTAATAGAATTCGTCATTTGGAACAAGAACTAGCTCTCTCTAATGAGGTGAAGTATGGCAGTCTTACAAATATATTGAACTATGCCATTTCTGGTTGTTTTTTTTTTATCCATTATAACATATTTCCTCTATGTTGGCTTTACTTTTAGGTTTCAGCACGGCTACAGCGTGAACTTGAGGATACTAACAACAGACTTAAAGCAAGAGAGGATTCTAAAGATGAGCCCAAACGTAAAGCACCCATGCTTGGCAGTTTGCCGAAAGTTCCCTCAGGAGAGGTATGATAGCAGTTTGTTATGAAAGTGTACTTCTGTACTTTTGCTTATTTTCTTTTATTTTTCAACTTTTGCCTCCAGAAAGTCTCTAGAGAAACCCTTACAAGAGGAGGTTCTCAAGATGATCCTGCTCAGCTGCTTAGAGACCTGCAAGACTCAGTGGAAAGAGAGGCTGACCTTAGAGAGCAATTGAAGTTTGCCGAGGAAGAGGTAAATGTCTAAAATTAATAATAGTGCTAGTTTTAGTTGCTTTTTTTACCATGGAGACTATGGCACTGTGTGTTTATGTATTCATCCTTCTTGATTCACCATCTTTCTGTGAAACAGTTTGATAATTAAGGAGAGGAGAATGTGAATGAATTGATTTTAGCTCATTACTGGACGGGTTATAGTTAGTTTATTTCTGTAATTCAAGGGATTTTTTGAGTATTGCCTGTGATATAAGCTGCTCATTTCACCAGATCTTTAAGCTGCAAATCAAGTATAAGCCAAGAATGAGCAAGCATGTGATGACCAAACCAAGATCACAGCATGAGAAGTTAGAAGAAGGGAATGAACCAGCATTTTATCAGCTGCCTGCACAATCTCAACCTATCCTTCAGTCCTTGTCCACACAAACTGATCCAGAACTAGAATCACCTATGTCCATGTGGGATACATATGATGATTTAACTGAAAATCAACCAAAAATGTCGGTTGCAGCTGATGTCTTCATGCTTTCTGTTTCTAAACATGCGCCTGGTCTTGCTCCAGTGGTTAGAGCTTTATTAGATTCCCTCCTCATCTTTCTCTCAAATTTACCTAATTCATTGCTTTGTGATGATGATTTAGAATTTTACGATGCTATTGAACCGATTTATGTCCCTCATGATCTTTTAACTCTTCTCAAAGTATTTTTTGTAATTGAAGATGTGCTTACTTCTAGACGTCATGTTGAAACTGCTGAAGTTTCCATTGAATGTGAACTAGATTTTGCTGTAAATAGTGTGGAAACTGCAGATGCCACTACTGAGTGCAAATTAGATTACACAGAACAGTGTCGGGAAACTCAAGAAGTTGCCTTTGACAGTGAGCTAGATCATACTGGAAACTTATTGCAAAATTTTTCTAATGCCGCCGAAAATTTAGCTGCTCTTGTTACAAATGAGGAAACTGTTGTGTTTGAGTCCACGGCTATTCACGACGTTTCTACAGTTCAAGAAACAGAATTTGAAGAGGAAACCAACATTAGTCATAATCTTTATTGTCCAAACACGTCTGAAAATTCTGAAATTTCTGCAGGAATAGGTGAAACCATAATCAAATCTACTCTGAATCTTTCAAATATTTCCTCCTCAAACTCCTCAACTCAAACTGAATTTTCTTTACTTGATGTTCTTGATGATATTTCATTGAAGGAACTTATTCATGCACATCAGATGTCTTGTAATATGACCGATGCCTTCACTCAGGCTGATTCTTTTGTAGAACTCGCCAGGGAGGAGGTCTCTACAAACTCTGTAAATAGCATTGAGAAGCGCATTTGTGTTGTTGCACCTTTGCAAGACTCAACTGACTGCCTGGCAGTGTCCGCAGGATGTGTTATGTCTGAAATTAGTACACAAACAGAACCACCAACAGTGGTTTTGGATCATGATTTAGATGTCATTAATTGCAAATCACCTGATAGTTTAGAGGTGGAGCTAAAAATAACATCTCTCCTGAATTCTCTTAATTCAATAGCAGAATCACTGGCACATGAGAATCTTTCTGAATCTCAGAGTCTAGAAGCAAACAACCTTCTTTTACATATGGAAACCACTATCCCATGTCTCGAATCACTTATCTCTCCTCCTGTTACTTCAGAAAACTCTATTTCCGATTCTATGAGTCCAGCAGTAGCCCCATCTGCTCCCATTGTTGACTTTGATTTAAGTCACTATCAATTTAATACTGATGAGGATGGCCTAACACCTGATGTTGACTCTTGGGGGCCCCCTGCTCTATTGGGTTTAAATGGAGTTGATGCATCCAGTGAGATTGAAGAGAATACTGTTCTTATAGAGGAAATTGCTAGTCCTCCCTTATCCATGGATGAAGCTTCTACTTGGTCAGTATGGCCACTTAAATCACCAAATACAAAAACTGATGATGGAAAGCATGTAGACAGTTTGCAAATTGCAGCCTCTGGACAAAATCTTTCGAATTTATGGGCTGTTTCCCCATGTTCACAAAATAATAGTGAGACTAGTCTTTCCCTTCCTATCTATTCCCTTGCATCTTGGTGGAGAATGCAGCTGTCTCTAGGCTGGGTTTTTCCGCCTGGCACACTTTTTTCAAGCAGTTCGCCTATGGCTGCCCTTCTTACTCCACTAGGTAACCTTTCTCACCCATTCGGTTGTGGGTGGTGTGAATCTTTTGATTTTAAAAGTTTTGGTAAATTTTTTCTATAGAAAACTAAGTTATGAATAATACTTTTCGCTTTTAGCCTTTTTTTATAATTCTATTATTTTTTTAAATTTTGATTTTTGATTTGTTTACATTAGGACATCAATGAAATCACAAGATTCACAAGATTGGAATGCTGTGTTTTAATGGCATGCGTAGATCCAGTGGCAGCCCACTTGGAAGGGAAGGCAGTTTGATGTGGTGATTGTCTTGACATATAGACCTCTTTCTTTCCTCATTTCGCCCCAAAACAAACCCACAAACCCTCAGATGTATTTTGTGTTCTGTTGAAGAAATAGTCCTTCACCCAATATCTATCCTATTAACACTTTTCATACGTCCATACTTTTACACAATTCATGATAACTGTGATTACATGTATTGCACAGAAAGGCTGGATGTATGATGGGCATTCCATTCCTTACAGGATACAATATTAATGTTTATTTGTTGACTAAAGTTTCCCATGTGCCCATATTCCTGTGTATAGTCTCTGTTGCTGGCTAAACTTAGTCCAAGATAAAATCAATGGCTAAAATAATTATCCTCTAAATGTTTTTAGTTTATGCTTTAATTGTTGTGTTTGCAGGGGCAAATTCTGAGAAAGAAGGTCTCTCGAGTTGAAGATGATAACGAGTCTCTCGTGTTGCAACTCAAGAAAATGGCTACCAAGGCTCGAAGTACGTTCCAACAAGGACAAAATTCATTCCAAATATTGAATCATGAGTCATATATTGGGCGCTGTTTGCCATTTGAGTCACATACAAGCCTTGCTTTTCTTCCAAACCTTGATTTTTGCAATCAATTCATACTAATGTTAACTGCTGCCAAGCTTGTAAAACTAAAATTTCAGGGAATTTTAGGAATAGTAAAAAGATAAAATGCAATAGGCAATTTTGTTTTGCAATCCTGCAAACAATCTATCTATCTATTAGTTTCTATCAATTAATAATTCATTTGCCATATCTCTGACTGTTTATTGTTGGCTCCTTGTTTACTTTCAGTATCTTTTTTTTCTTCCACCACTAGTAGTTATTTCTCTGAATGCAACACCAAACAGGACGGTGAGAGTTAAAAAAACAGAAGTAGTCCAACTTTGCTATCATATGATTAATTACTGACCGAGTAGCCTTGTGATTGTTTTCAACATCTTGTATGCTGATTGTGAAATTGTTGCTATATGTGCTTGCTGTGCACGGCTAAAGCATTTGCCTCTCATGATTGATTTGGTTGCAGTGGAATGCAGCCTGATATTCTGGAGAGTTAATAGCAATTTTTACTTTTCACACATGTACAGCAACTTTGAAAAATCTGTTGTGTATTTAGTCTTCTTTAAATTGTAAAACACATCCAAGGCAGGGGAAATTTTTTATTATTTAAAAAATAACGCATATTGGTATGTCAAATTTCTTTGGTGTAAGTTGTTGTCTCCCAAATAGCACTCTTTTTTTTGTCTAACAATAGAATACTCAGATGCTCTTGTAGCTTATGCTTACTGTCCCACCGGCTTCTATCTTCATCTCATACACTATCGGTGCAGACTGGCATATTTACATTTCTGGCAAAAAAAATCTGGTTAAATCAAATACATAGTTCATTTATTGATATAAAGCATTGGTAACCATTTTCTTGACTGCATTTGCCAAAAATATGGAAAAAACAAACCTTTTATTTTACATACTGCAAAAACATGCCTGAAACTTTCACTTTTCTTAATTTTTAGTACTCAGTATGATAAACTTTCAATCTTCTTTCTTGTTAATTTGTATTTGGTGAATAACATACCTTTAGGTAGAACTGATATTTTATTCAATAACTTTCTTTTTCCCTTTTTTTTTTTTTTTTTTGTAAGCAGTGCCTGCTTTTATTAAATTCTACATGTGCAACTGACTAATATTTTTTGATATCAATTTGCATGCTCTTTCATGTTTTATTTTGTGTTTATGGTTCAATTTTAAACTCTTTGAAAGAAACACTAAGCTGATTGCACAAAGTTTTGTGTATCACAGTCCTTGCTTTGAATAAATATTTGATGTGTTTACCAATTTTTTTCCTGACGTTTAACAATTTAACTTATTTTGCATGTAAGCTTATGCAAAGTGTGTATGTGTGGCAGCTCGTCGACACAGTCCAACTCCCAATCGTCTTACTCCTGAACCACCAGTTGAGAAGGACGAAGGAATATCTGATGAAGAAGACCCAGCAGAGCTTCGTTTGCTTTTGGAACTGAATGAACAGGTTTGTTACATTGTTTCATTTAATTTTCCAATACATGTACAGTTCCTTCATTTCTCAAGCATTTAGACTATTAATTATTTTTTTTTAAAATGATTTTAGGAGGCAGCTGTTTTAAGAAGGAAAGTTGAAGATCTGGAATCTGAGGGTGATAAATTGAAACGGAAAGTAAAAGAACTGCAGGACAAACTTACTGCTAAAAACAGTCGTAAGGGATCTGCATCCTCTCTCTCCAGTTTGAATGAAAACTCATCAAGCTCAGGTCTCAGTTCTCTGCATGAGAAAAAGATTAAGGTAAGATAAGATTTTGCTTTCTTGTATATTAAAACAGATCTGACCAGATCAGTTAAGCCAAGGTAAGCACATGTTTCTGCAAACTAATGAGCTTCTGTTAACTAGGTATTAGAAGAGGAAACGTCAGAACTTAGGAAAAAGCTCATTGAAAAAGAAAGGGAAGCAGAAAGACTTAATGCTGAATTGTCAGTGTCTCAAAAGAAAGGAAAAGGGACCCTGGCTAAAACAAAGTAAGCACTGTAAATTGTTACTGTAAATTGTTTATTGATTGTCATTTTATAATGCCAAATTATTACTTTCAACAACCATTTATCATGATTTTAGATCTCTTGAAGGGCCAACTGAACAACAGGCTATTGATCTTAAGCGCCAGCTTCAAGTAATTGAAAATGAAGCAATGGTCTTACGTCAACGTACCCAAACACTTGAAGCAGAAAACGACAAGCTAAACTCTGAAAACAAGAGATTGCAATTAACGCGTAATGCCAAGAATGCAAGAGACAGTAGTAGTAGTGCAGCCGAGCTACGCGTTCTAAAAGACAAAGTCACATCACTTGAGTCTGAGTTGTCCTCTGCTAACCAAAAAGTAATCTTCCCATATGTGAAACAAGCATTTTTTCCAAAGATTTATTGTTCTAGAACTGATCTTGAAAGTGTCTTTTCTAATTATGTAAATTTTTTTAGGTAAGAGACCTAGAAGGAGAAATAATCAAGGAAGGAAGTAAGAAAGCTAGTTTGAAAAATGACGAACTAGACAAAATGAAAGTCCAAATTACTAAAGTAAGTCAAATTTTGCTGCATTTTTTTTTTTTTTTAATCAGTACACTTTGTAAGGCACTTACATCTATGTCTCCTTCCCTTTTTCTAGATTTCAAAGGAAAATGAGAAACTGAGTGAAACTTTGAAGAGATTAAAGGATGATGCAGCAAGTAACCTTTCTGAATTTTACAAAGCAAGAGCTCCTAAGAAACCTACTGATGCAACTACTAAACTGCAAATGAAGAGAATGGTAGAAGAATTGGAGAGTGAAATAGGTACGGCTGAGAAAAGACTTTGTCCCTTATGAATCTGTCTGATCTTTGTGAATAATTTGGATGAAAAAAAATGTTTTCTTGAAGGTGAAATGATAGTCGCACTAAGGATATCAGAAGAAAACAAAACAAAACTCAAAGGCGCTGATGCATTAAATGAACTCAAGGAAGCAAAAATTAAAGTTGAAAAGGAGTTAGCTGATATTAGAAACAAGCTTGATCAAAAGGAGAGAGAACTGGAAGGAAGTAAGGCAGCAGCTGCAGAAGGTATTCACTGATGATGTGTGCCTGTAATCTGCATTTTTCAAAGTATATCTTTTTCTATCCTAACACTTGTCTAAAAATTACAGCAAAGAGGAAATTTGAGGAGGAAGTACTACGATCATCTAAAGACTTTAAGAAGAAAGAAGAAGAGAAAAATAAGTTGGAGAAGGAAAAGGATAAAATAAAGGAGGAAAATGAAAAACTTAGGAAAGAAAAGAAAGATGTGGAGGATCAACTTTCCAAACTTCTCACTGAAAAGAGTATGTTACTTGAAATATATTTTATTTTATTTTTTTGCTAATAGACAAGAAGTGTCATGAAAATTTATGTACTTGTTTCATTGGTTTTAGAGGCTGCAAGTAGTTCTGCTCAAGGAGAAATGTCTGCTCTTGCTCAAAGGCTTGAAGCTGTGACTCGTCAGTACGAGGAGGAGAAGAAACAAGCTTCAGCTTTTAAGAAACAGTTGGATGTTGCTCAAAGGGCTGAACAAGAAAAGTCTAAGTTGCAGAAGGAGGTGAGAAAATTGTGCTTATTGACTGTCTCTAAGAGAAATATATATATATATTTAAAAATATGTTTTATTTCTAGATGATAGAAAAATCTAAACAGCTTTCAGACATTGAGCAGAAGTTAAAGGAGAGTGAAGAAAAGCTGAAAAAGTCTGAGGGTCTTTTGACTTCAAGGAAAGAAAAAATATCAAAACTAGAGAAAGAGGTATGTTGTCTTTGCTTCATCCTTCATGCTTTTCCTGGAGAAAAGAGCTACAGTATTTCTGACGTCCAAGTCCATCAAAAGCTAGAAATATTTTCTTCTTTGGTTTAAAAATGTAAATTTTAAGTATGTGTTGCTTTATGTGTGCTGAGTCAAGAACTTTAGAATAGCCACTGTACATGTTGAATGAATTACCCAACTTGCATTTTTCTTTGGAAATCTTGTGCTAAACTTAGATTGAGATTAAGTGTTTTTGGTTGTGTGAAAGCTTGAATCAGAGCGGAAAGGGGCTACCGATTCAGCAAACAAGTTGAAGGCTGAAATGGAAGAATTAAAAGATGCTCGAGGGAAACTGCAGACAGCTGAGATTGCCCTAGAGGATACCAGAAAGCAACTGGCAGTGAAGACTGTACAAATGGAACAACTGGTGAGCTCGCTAAAAAAGTGTGCGAGCATCACTCATTTTAAGTCTTGCTAATTTTATTGCATTTCATCTATGATGCATGTGTTTTTAAGGTTCCAAACTAGATCATAATTTATCTTAAAAAGATTTGAGTGTTGCTTTTAATGCGTATACCTATTATAGAGAGTTGCACAAAGATACTCCACCACTGCTTGACCTTTGCCCACTTTCTGCCTCTAAATGTGTTCTTTCATTGAAACCTTGCTGTGTATTTTTAGAATAAATATTTGTGCTTATTATCAGATGTCCCTAACTTTCTTGTCATTCAGTAGGAGTGAAAGACTAACCATGTTACAATGAACTCCAATTTTCAAATCTAATTTTGAGTCTATTACATCATCTGCAAAGTATGTAACACGCATCTCTTTGTCCCTCCTTTAAAATGATTGTGTTACAGGAAGCGAGTTTGAAAGAAGAAAGAGAACGTGCTACAGATGCTACAGTAAAAGCTGGCTCTGCTGTCGCCAGGGAGGTGAGTGCCCTTCGAGAGGAACTTGCCGAATCCAAAACAAATTTGCAGAACTTGAAGGAGGAGCTGGAGGAGGTTAGTAGTATTGAGAAAGAAGTGGTAATTTCTGTTCCTTCGAAAAATGCTGCTTTTGTTCTACGAAACTGTCTTCTGCTTTTAAATTTTGTCAGGCTGAAAAATCCAAGAAAGCCTCGGAAGAAAAACTCAAAGTAATTGAAAATCAATTAGTGAAAGAAAAGAGAGAAATTGAGCAGAGGGTAACAGATTTAGAAGTCGAACTTCAGGTACAATTTACTTTTCTTTTGTTATTTATGCATTTAGATTAAAAATGTAGGCTCTTTAAAATGTACATTTTAATTTTTTATATGTTTCTAGACTGAAAAGAAAAAATCTGACCGTTCTCGCCTTAACAATGAAAAAGAACTTAAGAGTAAAGAGACTGAGTTAAACACTTTAAGGAGCAAAGTAAAAACACTAGAAAACAACACAGCACCTGCTAAGGTTACTGAAAGTTTGCAGCAACAAGTCTTAGGTATGATTTCAATGCAGAGATGGTATACATTTAACACCATTGTAGTAGTTGTTGTAAAATAGCATATACATTTTTTAAAATTATTTTTTAATCTTTGGGGTTTTTAGCACTGCAGCAGGAGTTGTCCTCTGAAAAGCAAGAGTATGAAGATCTAACTGCTAAATATGAATTATTAGAAGAAGAACATGTGGTTACTAAATCTCAATTAGTGACTGAGAAACAATCTCTTGAGAGGTACTAGATTACTTATAGCTCTTCTACTTTTAGATATTAATTCAGCTTGACTTTTTAATTTTTTGTTTCCTTTTTAGACAACTTGAAACTCTGGACACAGAACTAGGGGCAGTTCAGTCCCAGTTGCGTACTTTACAAGACACTTATACTTCAAAGCAAGATGCTTGGATCAAAGAAAAACTTGATATGGAGGTTTGGACTGAGGCATACATAACTGTTATGAAGTCTTCACTTGCTTTTTCTTTTGCTCAGTACTAATATTTTATTTTGCATTTTAGGAACAAATGAAAGAAATTGTGGAGAAGTCAAAACGAGGAAATGCAGATACATGGCAACTTGAGCGTCAGAAACTCATGGCAATCTGTGATGAGAAAACTTCTGAACTTGAACAGTTAAAGCGAGAAGGCCAAGGTCTTCGAGATCAAGTAGACCTTATGAGAAGAGAAGTATGTTGTTTCCAATTTCATTTGCATTTTCTTAACAATGTTTCCATCTAGTAAACTTAATTTTTTTTATTTTTTTAGTCTGAGGATTTGCGCCGCAAATTAGATGACTATGAGAAAGTGGCAGAAGTTCAAAGACGCATGACAGCAGATTTCAATGAGAAAGAGAATCAATTGAAGGATCTCAAAAATAAGTAAGCTGTTGTCAACACATATTACATACTTAGGCTTAGATCAATCCTAATTTTTGTATGACGTTTTTTGTTGTTTTTTGTGTAGGCTACTCCAAGAGGAGAAGGCTCGCAAGACTGAAGTAGGACAATTGAAAATGCGTTATGACAGTCGGGTGTCTCTAATAACAGAAGAACTTAACTCTCTCCAATCACAAGTTTGTAACATTTGCATTTTGTATCCTATAAGTTCTGTAATTATCTTGTCATAATTTTAAAGAAAAAAAACATTTATTTAACAGGTGACAAGATTTAAACGGGAACGTGATACTTTCCGCCACATGCTCGATGGTGCACAGAAAACAATTTCTGAGCTAAGGTCAAACCCTGGAGCTAGCAAACGTCTGTCAAGCATTAGTTCTGCTGAAGAGGTATTAATTTTTCCAATTGTTTTTCTCAATATCTTTGATGTCAAATGTAATTTTGTCCTTTGCCATTCAAGTCTGAAGAAGCTCGTTCTAAAATAGCCACATTGGAACAACAAGTAGCCTGTCTAGAGGATGAGCTGTCAGAATCCCGTCTTGTGGCATCAAAACTGAAAACAGAGCTGGTTTCAGAGAGGAGTGCATGGGAAGTGAAAACGTCAGAAATGCAGTCTAAAGTTAATGAGGTGAGAAAATTTTCACCTAAATAAAAAGTAGTGATTGGAAAATATTCAATATTTCATATTTTCTATGTTTAGCTTGAGGAAGACAGACTTGTGGCAAGTGGGCGAACAAAAATACCAGGTATGAAGACAAGAATGGAATTAGCATGGCACAAAGAGCGGGAAGAACAAACTAGGTTACTACAAGAAACATCTACACTTGCTCGTGATCTAAGGCAAACACTCTTTGAGGTCAGTAAACTTCCAATTGCTTTTTTATTTTTATTTGTATTGCCGTATTCACCTGATTATAAGTCTCCTCCTTCCCCTCTCTGTAGGTTGAAAGAGAGAGGGATAAGGAACGACTTGAAGCCAAACGAAGATTAGATCAAATTAAGAAAACTACAGAGGAGGAGCAAGAAGAAAATCGCAAGAAAGTTATGGAGGTATAGATAAGCACAGTAATTTATGCATGATACAACATAAGTTTGTTATTCATGTAAATTTACCAACATATTATTATATTTTAAAACCTTTTGTTTTCAGCTTCAATGTGATTTATTGGAACTTCGAGATGCTCACGCAAAACTGCGTACAACCAATGAAAAGCTACGTAGAGAAAAAGAAAGATGGGACCGAGAAAGGGACGACTTGAGACAACTTGCTTCTGCTCGACGGCGAGCAGATAATGATGAAGATAGAAAAATACAGCTTCTCCTTGACCAGGTCAGTTTTAAATTCGCATACTGTATTTCTGTTGTTTTTCCTCCCTCATTGATATACTCAATTTGAGTTGAAATTTACTGCTGTTTTGTCTCTTTTGCTTCAACTCAGGTTGAAGAACTAATGAGACTGTCCCCAGATATGCTTTCCTACAGGCGTGGTTCTTCTCAAGCATTAGGGACTCCCACACCTCCAGTGCGACTAAAGGTACATTCAAGCTGACCAAAATTTTCACATATTTTGTAATTGGAGGATAACATCCATCTGTCACTTGATAACTGTGGTTTTAAATAAAAATGTTCTCTTTAGGGTCCTAAATCACGGGAATCTTCTCCTCTAACTGAAAGAAAGGACTACAGCAGAGGTGAGTATACAGAGAATATCTTAATTAAAATACATCCTTTTGTAGAACAAACGCTCAGTTTTTTTGTCTTAACAATTTCCAGAGCAATCTCAGTCACGAGATGATTCCAAGGGAAATATGCAGTCAACTCTCCAGCGCCTGATTGAGGTTACTGATGAGCTAAGAAGATATCAACGTGCAGATAGCCAAGATAGAGATAGGGAGAGAGCAAGACGAGTTCTGGGTATACGAAGGTATGTTCTAGTTTAACATCTAGCTTAGAAACTCTCTTACTCTACAATGTACAACAACTTAAAGCTTATTTGCTACGCAGGGCTGCATCTACTGAATCAGATACAGCAGCTGAAGTCCCAGCTGAAACTCGGAGCAAACCAAGTGTGGGAAGAGGAGGAGCTGGGCTTCAGAGGAAGGGTAGTTTATTGCGTAAGACACTCTCCCTAGAGCAAACCAGCAACGCTAATGAACAGGTGTGACTTTACTGATGTTAGATGGAAATTATTAATCTGAAATTACAATGCACATATTTTATAACAACAATTCTTTTCATAAATAGAATTTCTGGAAAGGAGATGATGAGGATGGAAGTGTCAATAGTTTACAAAGCTTAGATGATGACCCAAGATTAGCAATTAATAGAAGAGACAACAGCATGGACAGGTACTTATGTAGACTAAATATAATTTCAATATTGTTTGCTATCCTTGCCTAATACTTCTATGTATTTTATATAATCTATTTTTTTATCTTGTTATTAATTGTGTGCAAACCATCTGCCATGTCACCACCATCCAAAAATCTGTAAACTGCCCCTTAACATGAGCATTGCTCCTGGGGCCCATCAAATGTGAAATAAATAAATAAATAAATAAAAATAAAATTGTAGTTATTATATGTATTTAAACACTGCTGCTTCAAACAAGCATGATTATTGTTTTTCTTTTATTTCCAGTCGTTTGTCTGGTGGATCCACACAAAGTGAAGTCCTTCACTCAGGAGATAAGAAAAAGAAAAAAGGCCTTCTAGGAAAATTAACAAAGAGACTTACCAAATCAAGAAGTGTTGATGAAAACGACCCTCGAGATCTTTCTTTAGAATCCCTACACAACAAGGTATGTATCCACGTTGTAAGTTACTGCAAAATATTACCCTTGACAACTCTATCTATGTACCTCTCCGTGTTTCCTGTCTGGCAGGATGGCTCTGATGCTAGCCTAAATACTTCAGAAGATCCTAAAGGTAGTAAAAGGGATCTGAAAGAGCGACTGACTGGGATGTTCAAGAAAGGTTCTTCTTCCAGAAGTAACAGGTAAGCACTGGCTCAAATCTCACTTATCACTGATTGCCGGATCACATGACTGTGAAAAAAGTTCCTTCTTCCTCCATTTTTTTATTTTTAATTTTTGTTGTAATTGACGTATGGTTACAACTGTTGACCAATTTAAAGAAAAAAATATTTCATGGATTTTATTCCTTCCCAGTGTTGAGGATAGGCAGCCTCATGGCTTGCCATTGCCTCCACATAGTAGTTCCAGGTCATCAATGTAAGTCAAATGTTCAGTACTTTCACTTGTGTAGAGCCTGTTTACATTATCTCTTTTGTATCTTGGCGCCTCTATTTTTCTGTCAATTTATTTTATTTTTCATCAAAAAGAAAGAATGTGCATCTTAATTATTTTTGTTTGCATTTTTACTGCATTTTTCATGTATCTTTAACACTAAAGAACATATTTTCTATTTTTTAAAACTCCTGGTGTGCTCTCTTGCTCTGTCTATTTTTTCAAACTTATTTATGCTTTTTGTGTAAGACATTCCACTCAGCAACAGAATGCGTCAGCATTTGGTATTCTTGAGATGTAATTTTTGGGCCATGCTTCCTTATTATTGTTTGATCATGCTGTAGTATTGTGTAGATGTTGTGTAGGAAATTTACTTTGTTCCATTTTCAGTTCAAATTGTTTGTGGTAGCAGTATAAAGTTTACTCTTCTGCTATTTTCTTGTCATAAAATATGTGATAGAAGAGTTTGTGATTTCTTTTAAACTAATTACTTGTTGTTGTTTTTTTTGCTATGTAGCTTGGAGCGAAATGCGAAACCTCCTCCTTCTGAGTCTAAACAACGTTCTCTCGCTAGAGCATCTCCCTCTGTAAGTGAAACTGAGATACTGAAACTGACTTTATTCTACTGTTAAGATGGAATTGTAAAAACCTTCTCAATTTCATTTGCACCAGGGCAGCGACACCGGCCAAACTTCTAGCATGTCAAGACCACTAGCTGCCAAGAAAACTGGTTTGACCGGTGCCTCTTCGACTACCTCTAAGAAGTCCAAGTGATTGTCTATTTTTCCTTATGTCCATGTATGTTTTAGCCACTTTAGTGGATTTTGCATCACCATATCATTTCCATGACCCAAATACATCATTCGTTCTTGACGATGCCCAACCCAGAATTTGTACATGTCTTGTTATTCTACTGTTTTATTATTATTTGTTGATAATTTGTTTCTTTTTTTTTTAGACATTAAAATATATATATATTATTGAATGGGTCTGTTTTTCTGTACAAGAGTTGCTCCCCCTTTACAAACTAGTGGGACAGTCTTATACACTGAAAATTTAATTAATATTGTTATACATTCTTGAAATATCCCTGATTATACAACTAAAAAGAAAACCTGTAGTATTGATTTACTGGTATTTTAGGTTTACAATGACATTACTACCATGTCTGTATGAATTGTGTGCATTCCTAGCCTTTCTAGCGTCTCTAAATTTTACAGCACTAGTAACAATACTTGATCTCTCCTACATGAGGTAGATGTGGTGTTGATAAAGAACAAGTAAAAAATAGAGGGCAAAAACAGAAAAAAAAAAAACAAATTTGAGAGTAGGCATCTACAATTAAAATTTATTTACATTATTGTTAAGCTAGGTATATTTGATATCACATGCTGGTAACAAGAACATCATGGTTAAAAATGTACTTCGATAAGCGGGAGAGGAAGAGCGGTGCAATTGAAGGAAACTGGATTCATATCTAGCCTGCAGTTCTTCATTCCTTGGGCGTGTCCTGCAACACACAAGAAAACCAACTCATAAGTTTCCCACAAAACTAAGAAAGGCAACGGGCATTAGCGACAACAATGAGATAAATGTTGTATTTATTTAAAAAAAAAAAAAATCCGGGGGAGGAGAGGGGAGCTCTGCACAGTGATAGTGAGGACGAGTGACCTTGAACGCAACGCGTCAGGGGTTCCCGGAAAGCCCGCGCGAGGGTAGGAGAGGGGGAAGGCAATGAGATGATGAGGAAGGCGCAACATGGTCGGCACTCCACTGTCTCTCTCGCACTCGCACGGCACCAAACCAGAGCGACAAGGAGGGGGGCTCTACATTTAAAATACTCATGGCGCACTCGCACCGAATGAAAAACTACGCAACGGTTAAAAACCCATGGTTCAATACGAGTGAGCTCAGAAAATGCCAGTTCTTGTAGTGGCGGAAAATACTGGCTCATTCAAGTACGTGACTCTTTCTTTGTTTTACGCTAATCCCAACGAGTCAAGGAAGTCCCACAGCGTCTCTACCTGATCATCGCACTCCCTTTTGTATTATAGGTGTCACCGTAAAACTAAAATTAAAAACAACTTAAATAAAATTGACAGGCTTGGACTATACGCCCATTGGCATGTGCCGAGAGCAGGAGAACAGGGAAGTCCCAGCGAGAAATTCAAAATCAAAGAAAATTGTGTTTGATTGGAAGACTAAGGGGCGCCAAGGCATTCCTTCACTGCTGGGTAGCTAGACCTTCTGGCTCATCACGCATCACATTGTGGCGACCGGTGGCAACGTTTTTTCCCTCTGTCGGAAATTTAAAGTCGAAATCAATTGAGACTGGAACTTGTTGCGTTTAACACGTTGAGTCCCACGTGACCACACGTATGGTCACAATAACACGTGATTGAATACCCCCCGCCCCCCTGGCACTCAACGTGTAAAACACGGCAATTTACAACCTAATCGGATGACGACTTCAGTGGTCAAGTTGGTGATTTTGTCACCACTGAACCGAACCTTCAATCTGCAAACGATCGGGGTGCGACACACTCACCGTCTAGCTAAGTGTTGACCCGCTCCCGCTGCTCCCGCGGCTCCCTACCGGACTCATCCGGGCACCTCCCGGCACTTCCCCCGGTGCATCACGTCCCCGTCAGAGCACGGCGTCGTGGAGGACTCGGTGGAGTGCGGGACCAAGACGGCGCTGGGGAAGGAGCCGCCGGGCCCCGCGCCGCCGGGAGCCGGGGCCGCCCACGCGGCCTGGGCCGCGCACAGCGCCAGCGCGAGGGCGGCGGTCCAGTACAGGGTCCTGGGGTGCATGGCGGCGGAGCGGTGCGGGCAACGGAGCGAAGGATATGGGCGTCGTCGTCGGGCGCGCGACCTCCGCGATGGACGGGCTGGAGTCAAGTGAGCAGCGACCGGGGCTCGGACGTCCGAGCCGATCGCGCTGCCGCGGTGGTATGTGTCGCAAATAGTCCCCCCTGAAGACGTCGTCGACGTGGCCGCGGGGCGTTGCGGGGAACCCCTCTGACGAGCCCCTCCCCTCTCCAGGTCACACTCGCGTCCTTGCCCTCGGTGCAGCCCGCGAACCATGCGGGCCGATCACATAATCACATGTCCCTCTCTTTTTGAAAGACTCTCAGCCGCACCTACGTTTTCCCAGCACGGTAATTGGCTTCAGGAGGGTCGCAATGGGTCGCACTGGTCGGTGCGCAGCTGACCTCCGACCCGGCCCGCCCGCGGCCTCGAGCCGGCCCGCCAAATATCCTGTTGGTGCTGCTGCGCAACAAGTGCGACAAGTTCCAAGAAGCGCGCCGGGCCGGTGGCTGACTCATGAAATTTGTTTTCACGAGTCGCGAGAGCGGTACCGAGGCCGAGTGTCACCCGTCTTACGGAGGGCTAATTGTGCGTTTCATCGTTTTTTCGCACGGATAGAATCGATTTAAAAAAATAAAATAAAATAAACTGCGGTTTGGGGAATGGGCGCTGAAACGCCCACCAAGTCTAGAAGTATCCAGAAAGTATACGTTCGTTTTTCACCGATTTATAAAAAAAAAAAAATGAATTACGGGAGCACGACGCCTGTGAAACTCGGGGTAGGCCACTCCGCAGTACATGTATGCAGTGCACATCAAACGTTGCCTACCTAACAGGCGCTAGGAGAACTTGCATGGGCTGAACTTGGCAGGTTCGTTCGTATACGGTGAATCACGGACGTAACGGCGAGGGGTATACCCTCTACAGAGGGCAGAAAATGTGACCATTGGATGGTCACGTGGGACGCAACGCGTTAACTTAAAACCAGGCACCCCCTCTACCGGTTTCTTTCAGACCATTTTCAGCCAACACGCCCTCGGAAATTATGTTTCAAGTTGTTTTGAGTAGTTAACGTCTCTCTCCATCTCTCTCGCATCGTCCATCTATCTCTATTCGTCCCGCGCTCGCCGCTCGCGATTCGTGGAACCGACCGGCGAGAGGCGGACTCAAGCCAGCGCGTATTGCACGTAATGGCGAGAGAGAGAGACGCGAGATTTATATGTTCTCCTCGCGTCCAGAAGCTCCGTGTTGTGGCTGGTGCAGCGTGTAGGTGGCGACACCGATCCCCAGACACCATCCCTCCACCACTTGGGGTGGGTGTCGTGTCGCGTCAATGCACAAGCAGAGCGCTGATGACCCAGCCGCAGAAATGGAAATTCCTTCGACGGCGATGTCGATTCGACCCATTTCGACCTCATTTATCCGGATCTGAGCGGCAAAAGTGCGTTTATTTGAGAAACGTCTACGTCGATTCGACTCGACTAGCTGGGGAGGCGGGGCCAGAGTGCGTTGCACCCGGACGGCAGAGCGGTGCACGTTAGGTTTAATGGCCCACCTGAGACGGGCCACGGCCACCGTTGGGTGCAGTCTTAGGGGGCAGAAGACACCTTGGGGGACACCCTTTCGCGGCTCAGCCCTTCGCCATGCTTTTACGGGAGAGAGAATAGAGAGATTTAAAGAATTGTGTCCATCATAGTGGTGGAGAAAGAAGCAAAGATTAAGCGACAGGTAGAAGATGTTGGGGATGGCGTGGCGGGGCGTGGCGTGGCGTGGCGGGCACGCATGCGGGCGATGGTTTCCATCCTAGCGTCGTCGCAGTGTGCACTGTGATGTGACCCACCAACCACTGCGTCGTTTTATTATGTAGCAAACCGCACTTGTCGTGGCAAAATTTACAAAGCACACACACACACACATACACCGGTGGAGTGGGAGGGGGCGTGGTTCGGGGGAGGGGGAGCTGGGGAGGGGTCGGAGGGGTGTGCCCAATGGGGGTCTGATTACTAATTACAAGACGCTTGGGCCACGCCCCGCCACTCGCAGGCCGGGAGGAGGCGAGACACTTTGGCCTGCTTGATTCGGGGAAGAATTGAAAGGCGAGACGAGCAGAAGCTGGCAGCGGCGTTCGTGTGGCGTTCCTCCTCCTCCTCCTCGTGCTGCTCCTCCTCCCCGCCGTCGTAGTCCTCGTCGTCACCTCGTTAATCCAGATGTAAAATCAAAGGTGACTTTTCGACTTGGAGTCGGAAGGCGAGGACCTTTGACACCTCTTGTACTATGTTTGTTTTGTTTTCCTTATTTGGTCGAATGCAAAGGCACTTAGGACCATTCTGTCGTCTTCCATATTCTCTCTCTCTCTCTCCTTTTTCCCGTTGGGGTGGAGGTGGGGGGATTGGACTCCATACCCCCCGCGCCTCCACAGGCCTGCGCCTGGTACTGCCATCGGGTCGGTACCGCATGTGTTGTGAGTGTGGCGGCTGTGCCGCGTGTCTCCGGCGTACGGTGTGCTGCCTGCAGCTCAAGGCGAGGCGGCGGTCACTATCGGAGAGCCGACGGCGAGCCTCGAGTATATTTTCCACGGCACTTTCTTTACATTCTTCACATTTTCCTTCTGATAGAGACACTGTCAAAGAAGTATAACCCCCCCCCCCCCCCGAGCTGAAAATGTCGCACTTCACTGATAAACTAAGTGTTCAACTGCTCAACACGTGTAAGTGTGCAACTGCAAGTGTGCAAGTCCGTAGTTGTATACTTGCAAGTGTTCAACTCGGTAGGTGTGCACTTGCAACAAGTATTTAACTTGCAGTTGGACACTTGCAAGTGTTGAGCAGTTGCACACTCGGTTTATCAGTGTCTGTGTGCGGCCCACAGCGCCGTGCTGCAGCCCCACTCACTCACGTGCGGCCTGGCCGGCGGGGCCGCTCCCGGCGCCTGGTAGGTAGGCCACCCAATTAGCGTCCAGCTCATCACTGAGCGGTGACGAATGGCTGTCCGTGCTGTCACCGCTGCGGGCTGCGGGGGCGGAGGGGGGGGGGGGCGCTCTACCACACCGACCGCTGCCACCCTGCTCGGCCTTTGGCGACACCCTCAGGCACCCTCGCGTCCCTCCTCCTGACGCCCCAAACCCCCTCCTTCCTTCTTTCCCCGCCCGTTCATTCCGGTTTTTACAACGCCGTCACTACCGTCGTCGCCGCCAGATCTGGGCCGACAGACGCGAAGCTGCCCCCGCTGTCCTTTATATATCCTCTCAGCTCGCACGCCCCAAATTGATATACACTCGCGATGGCGCCAATTTGTTTCTCTGACTGCGACCGAAATAAGGTATATTCCGCACGAAGGCAAACGGAACCTAAAGATGACAAGCATGACTACTGTTTCCTCCGGCGCGTTCATTGGATGTCCGCCACACCGACGTCAACGTCGGCCTATCAAGGGTCCCGAAGGAAACAGATCATGCTTTTCTTCTCTACGTTCCGATCGTCTTGCAGTGGAATACCCTATTATTAAAGCGTTTATATTCTATTTTATGGACTGTCTCTACCAGGAGGGAAAACCTGCCACCCCTCTTTTTCCTCTGCCTTCCTCGTTTAGAACAGGGCCGGGCGGGCGCTCGGGTGTGGCGACGAACGGCGATTCTTGTTTTTTTTTTCTGGAATACATTCGTGGGAGGTCGCATAGGAATCGGGCCGTGTGCGCGGAAGTTTTCGGCCACGCGGAGCGGCAGGATATGGGACGAGGCGGCGGCGGCCACGAGGCGACGGGGCCATAAGGCGCGTGTGGGGTCAACAGACGCGTGTCGCCATGGTCGAGGCCATGAAGCGCCCCGGCTAGGCCAGGAGGCGCCATGTGGGGGCGGCCGGGCCCGTGGGCCGGGCCATGAGGCGGTGTCTTGCACGGCCGTTTGCTCCGGCTAACAGGCGTGTTGTGTTAACTACCCGGGCGGCCCGGGGCCCGAGCCCGAGGAGGAGGGCGCTACCCGCCGCCGCCGTCCGGGGCGCGAGCAGGGGCGTAACGCAACGCTTGATGGGCGGCGCGGCGCGGCGCGCAGGGAGTAAAAGCCTCTGGGCGTCAACCCCTGGCCCGCCCACGCAGTATACGGCCGGTAGCTGGACAGGGCGCCCTCCTCCCCGAGAGGACGCATCTCTCCATCCCGACATTCCGTGTCTCATCAGCTCCAAGTCCCCCCGGAGGGTGCCCGCCCGCCCCGTGTGCCGTGGACAGGGGGCGCACTCTAACTGAATCCCCCACCCCCTTCCCGGCTCGAGTTGCCGGCGCGGCGGCTCAAAGCGAGTGGGTCAAGCGCGTACCAACAGCAGCTTCTGCCCCTCGTGCCTCCTCCACCCGCCGTCCCGGCACTTCCCTGCTCCGCGTCGGAACAGGCAGGAGGCAGGCACGGCTGCGCTTATGACTGAATGGAGTGGGGAGTGGGGCGCGGCGGGGCGAGTCGGCCTGGGCTGGGGTCGGCGGCAAAGGGGGGCAGTGCTGCGTCGTGAGGCCGAGGGTGGGCTGTTTGTGATGGGGTGTGGCGGGG